AGTGTCATGTCCAAAATGGCAGCTCTTTCTAAAAAACTAGCCTCCGTGGCCCCATTATATAGAGTCTGGTTTCAAAATCAAATCTTTTGCTTTGTGAGTTTTAGGAAGAGGCTTCTGGTATGTAGGTGGGGAGCCAGAGACACATGGAGAACTGGGTCTGAATCTCTTAGACAGTATTGGGGGAAGATCACAGGTCTTCCCCCTCTTCACTGTTAGACAGAAAATATTCATCTGCTGATGCTCAGATGTGACTTCTGCGAGGCTTAGGATGGAGCCAGTGAGCTCAAAAGGCTCTGGGCTGATGTGAGACATTCTAGGTATTGATCAGAAAGCATTTTCAAGATAATGTTGCCTGTTTGGAAGAGCTTACCTGCCTGTGCCCAGGGCATGAGTTTTGACTCAGTAAAGCTTCAGGAAGCTATCTCCCCCCAACCACCCTGGCCTGTCTTCCTCTGAATGCATCTTTCTGACTTGGTCATATGTTTGTGACACAAGAGAGCTGAGCAAATGAGAGTGAGTGGTTTAGAAGAGGCAGGAAAGAAAAAAAATGCAGCAGAAACAGTATTTAACTGGAAAATGGACTATTTGGGGATACACAGTTTTAGGGACCCATGTACAGTATACATGCCCATCCTAACTTAAATTAATTCCTGTCTCTCCTTCCATTTCTGGCCATTCATATCCTCATATGTGGTCTTTAGGGAACTCATAAGAAAAACAGCTCTCCTACAGGCTGGATGGAAGCTGCTTTCCTTGTTCCTGTCAGCATGTGTGTGCTGAGTCACTCAGTCGTGTCTGACTCTTTGTGACCCCGTGGATTGTAGCCCGCCAGGCTCCTCCATCCATGGGATTCTCCAGGCAAGAATATTGGAGTGAGTTACCATTTCCTTCTCTGGGGATCTTCCTGACCTAAGGATCTAACCCAGATATCTTGCATTATTGCAGGTGCCTTCTTTACCATCTGAGCCACCAGGAAAGCCCATCAAAACAGGGCAAGGCAGAATCAAAATCTTATCTTAACAACAGCAGTGGTGATGGGGACTCTGTCTGATCTCAAGGAAACCATACTGTGCTAAGTGGAATTTCTACAAAGCCCTCTCAGGACTTCCCTTGGTGGTCCAGTGGTTAAAAAATCCACCTTGTCATGCAGGGGACTCAGGTTCAATCCCTGCTCAGGGAATTAAGATCCCACATGCCACAGAGCAACTAAACCCACGTGCTGCAACTTCTGAGCCCAAACGCCACAACTAGAGAGTCCACGCGCCGCCAGAGAGAGATTCTGCACGATGCAGCGAAGATCCCGTGTGCTGCAGCTAAGACCCAGTGCAGCCAGATAAACAACCAAATGAACAAGTAGTAAAAAGTAGAAGCCCTCTCACCAGAGTCAGCAAGCATCCTGAGCTGCGGAAGCCAGGCTGAATTCCCCATCTTAGTGCAACATTCAAAACTCTGGGGGTTGGGGGTGGGGTGGGGACCGTGACACTTGGCTTATCCTGATTAACAAGAGCGGGTGCCAGGAACTACCCAGGATTAACTAACAGGATTAACCAGGGTGCTGTGCCGGGGACGTCAGCGGCGGGGCCGTGGCCCTGCAGGGTCCTGAGCCTCCTGGTAGCAGATGTGGCGACAGGGCCCTGGAGGACACTTAGAGGACAAGCCGCTTGTCGTTTTCCTTTCAGCTGAGATCTCTGAGGCTGTGGGGTTCCAGGAGAGCCGTAACCTGCCCTCTGGATTAAAAGTCTTAAATATCCTCTCAGCCTCACTGGGTTAGAAAGAATATTTGGTCCAGTCCCTGGCACCCAGGAGTTTTAGTCAGAACACTTAAAAAATATATATATATATATATTTTATATAGAAATATGTTTTATATTTACTTATAAATATTTTGTTTATAATTATGTATATTTTGTTTTATATTTATGTATAAATATTTTATTTTTTTAATATTTATATTTACATTTTAATATCTATGTATATATTTGTCTATTTTAATATTTATATATGTATGTACAAATATTTCTATAATATGTGTTTTGTATTTATAAATACATGTTTATATATACACATAAAATATATTTATATAATGTTTATATATATATATATATGCTTTTTACCTCAGGCATGAGGAAAGAATCTGACAGTTCCACTGAGCATTTGAGCCAGGAGATGGAGGGCTGTCTGGAGGAGATGCCGTGTTTTCTCTGTGAGGGTAGCACTGTCTTCTAAAATGAAACTATGAGTCTGAGAGGAAATGGAATCCCCCTTGACGCAATCCCTTCTGGAAAAGTCCACCGTCCCAAGGGCCAGAGACCAGGTGTATGAATTCTCTCCTCACGGAGGGAGACCGCACAGATCTCAGCTGAGCAAGGGGGCGATGGACCCTGCCTTGAGGACGAGTGTGAACAAGAACTCCTGAGCTTCTGGCCGCCACACGGGTGACTATACCTGGACGTCCGCACGTGCTCACACACGCCTCACGGGCGCACACGCCGACCTGCGCGGACAGGGCAGAGGGGACTAGCGCCCTGCCAGGATTACACGGCTAACAAGTGGGTTCCTAGTGAAACGACCACTGCTTTCCCAAAAGGCTTCCCGCTTGGGGTTTATCTAGAAAGGGAAGGAGAGAAATGTCAGCAGTCCGAGGGAAGGATAATAGCAACAATAGGAACCATTTCTTGAGGGCTCATGCTATGCCAAGAACACTGGTGCGGGCGGTATTTCATGTCCTCCTCCAGACAAAGGTAGTGGTGATGTTAGGAAGGATGTCACTGGAGAAGGAAAGCACAGCCAAGAAGCCCTTCAAAGGCTGCTTTCAACAAAGGAACGTTGTATTGCTTCTCCTCCTCTCTTCTGAATTCACAGGAGTGTTTTCTGTACCTCGAGCCCAACCCCATCCAAGTGAGGGGAGACCGGGGCCATGATTCTGAATATCGAGAGGCTTCCAATCACCAGGCTTCCCTGGTGGCTCAGTGGTCAAGAATCCACCTGCCGGCGCAGGAGATGAGAGTTTGAGCTCTGGACCCGGGAGATCTCAAACACTGCAGAGCAGCTAAGCCCGTGTGCCATATAACTACTGAGCCTGAGATCTAGGGCCCGGGAAGCCCATGCACCCGAGAGCCCACGCTCTGCAGTAAGAGGAGCTCCGACGGGGAGAAGACAACACGGCAGTGGAGGGTGGCCCCCACTTGCCGCCAGCTAGAGAAAGCCCGTGCAGCGGTGAAGACCCAGCACCACCAAAACGAAACCATTGTTTTTTAAAAGCTACAGAAAGACCCTCACAATCCCCTCCTTCCACAGGGACGGTCCACCCTGTCCCCAGCTGCGGGAGACACAGGAGGGCGTGGATCTCTACGACTGCAAACTACTTTTTGTTCCAGCTGATTTCTCTCGAAGGTGAAGTGTAAGGCCCATGAGAAAGGTCGAGCATTTGTGGGATTGTGCAGTGGTTAGATCATCTGCATCAAGACAAGATGACAGTGCAGCCCTATAGTCGATCCTGACCACCAAAGAGTCAGGATGACTGACGTGTACTGAGGTCAGAGAGCTGCAGGCCGTGGGCCCGGTCCTGTACACCCCATCAGCCTTGCTGCCCTCAGCGTAAGATAGGCTTATTTCCACTGGCCGTTCCAGCTGGACACTTAGCAGGCCGCCCAGTGACAGGCCCAGCATCTCTGTCCCTTCCAGGCTGCCTGAGGCAGTCCTGGTTAATGCCACCGCTTTATTTTGACAGTGAATAAATCACTCCAAAATCAGTGCAGATGGTGACTGCAGCCATGAAATTAAAAGACGCTTACTCCTTGGAAGAAAAGTTATGACCAACCTAGATAGCATATTAAAAAGCAGAGACATTACTTTGCCAACAAAGGTCTCTCTAGTCAAAGCTATGGCTTTTCCAGTAGTCATGTATGGATGTGAGAGTTGGACTATAAAGAAAGCTGAGTGCCGAAGAATTGATGCTTTTGAACTGTGGTGTTGGAGAAGACTCTTGAGAGTCCCTTGGACTGCAAGGAGATCCAACCAGTCCATCCTAAAGGAAATCAGTCCTGAATATTCATTGGAAGGACTGATGCTGAAGCTGAAGCTCCAATACTTTGGCCACCTGATGCAAAGAACTGACTCATTGGAAAAGACCCTGATGCTGGGAAAGACTGAAGGCAGGAGGAGAAGGGGATGACAGAGGATGAGATGGTTGGATGGCATCACTGACTCAAGGCACACGAGTTTGAGTAAACCTCGGGAGTTGCTGATGGACAGGGAAGCCTGGCCTGCTGCAGTCCATGGGGTCACAAAGAGTCGGACACGACTGAGCAACCGAACTGAACTTATTTCGACAGAGGCCCCTCTCACCATTCACCGGGATCTGATACATACATTGAGCTTTTTGTCCCTTCTTTTTTGGCACACAAATGCCTCCATGGGCTAGGAGTGCAGCTGATGTGCGAGGAGTAGCCTCTGAGAAGAGAGGAGTGACGTCCTGACCTGGGTGTGCCTCTCGAGGCGCATAGCTGAGAAGAACTTTTGTAGTCATTTCTTTTCCATTTGGGGAATGATGCTAAATACCACCACTAACACAGTTTTTTTGAGAGTTGTATCCGATCTTTATGTTATTTGAGGTGATTTTCCTCTGTTGTGTTGAGCCCTTAGCATAGGGTTCTGGGAGGACACGGCCGAAGGATAATGCCCCATTAGCCGCCCTGACCTTGTAACTCCCTTGTTGTGGGGACTTTCAACCAAATTGCACTTTCAACTCCCTCATATGCTGCTCACAGTCATTTGATGTCTGCTGCAAGTCAGTGTCATTTTCAGTAACTGCTTTTCTTTCTACAGGGACAAAAGCAAGGGAAAGAAGACATTCTCTGCCAAAAACTGAGTTCCTGTGGAGAAGTACAGACAGACCTCCATCCTCTATTATATCCCTAACACAGATCACACAGGTTCAACCTGCAGCCAGCAACCAATGTCCTAAGTTTTCGCAACGCCAGTTGAGAAAAAGGACTTACCTTGGAGTCCAGCTGTTGCATGTACGACCAGAGATATTCTATATTGGCTCCGAAAGGATGGACGTGAAGAAACGTGGATATGATGCCTGAAATGAAGAAGGCAAAAGGATGTTACTGAGAGGCAAGTAGAAATCTCAGGCAAATATTGTCATCTGACCCCAGTGACAGTTTTGTCAGGGCTGAGTCGTGGTCTTGCCACTTGTATCAGTGCTCGGCAAGCATTCAGTAATAGCCCGTTTTGAAGACAGTAATAGTAACGTGGCCAACAGAACACTGTCTCCCGGAATGACAGTAGTTAGAAAAGCGAGACAGAAAATACACAGATGAATAAAGGTGTTTCCAAACAGAGGTTTCTGGCAGCATTTCAACTACCAATTTTATGCTTGATTTACCGATATAAAATTGTGGTTACTGGAAGGATCAAGTGATCCCCTTCTTCCCCTTTCTTCCTCTCGGTGGACTTACCAATATGAAAATGGCTCCTGCGGCTATGTCAGAGAGCACGCTGCCTCCAGCTCCCCTGGTAATTACCTCTGCTAGTTACAGGAAATATTTAGTCCCTCTTTTCCCTCGCTGCCACTGAAGGAAGCACAAATCCTCTGCTATTTCCCCCTGGCTGTTGCTGTTGTTTCAAGAGAGCCAGCCCGTTCTCCCCTCTCTGCTGTAATTTACAAGATCATTTTAAAAGGCCTGGGAATGGATGGTTTGGCTGGAGTCTGATTATAAATCAGAGGGCTTTTTCCATCGTGAAACTCAACTGTCAACATTGTACTGACAAATGAAAAGCTGAATGTCGGTGTTAGGGCTGAAGGAAAAGCATCACCCTCCTACCCTCCCCGCTCCTACATCCAAAATCAAAACAGTGAAATGAGAACATTGACTCCACAGGCTCTACACTCCTGTTTGTTAAGAAACGTGTTCAGACTGATGTTTTTGGCTTCTCTTTGAAACAGGCTTTGAGATGAATCACATTTGAGGATGAGCCCCCTGATATTCTGTTTATTGTGACGCTTTGGTGCTAGAAAGCCAAAGGTCAAGGGAAGACCCACAGTGGTATGCAACACTGCACTTTGGTCATTGAATCAACTGCAGGGTGTCCTGGGACTGCCCTGGGAAAGGATCTCATGGCCCTCTGAGCTCCCATGAGATGCTTGGAATGCTCTGGATGAGTGTCAGTTTTTAAAGAAAAAATTCCCAGTTTATCCTTAGGCTGAGAACAGAGAACCGAGAGGTTTACACAAGTACTCTGAAGACCTGTCCTCAGAACACTTTAATGGGTGTTTTCTTGGACAGTGAAATGAGGAACATAGAAACACTTTTCCATAAAGCTAAAATCTCAGTTTTCAGAGATTGACCTTTTCCCTGAAATACATAGAGCTACTGTTTTATTCTGATATTATGTTGTTCTTTTTTTTTTTTCTTCTTAAAATGTCCTTCTCTGAAATAATGGTGATGATAAGTTAGGGATGGAGTAAAGGGACAGAATAGTTGATTAAACAGTTAATCCCCCTAGGGGATTGTAGGTAAAGGAAGAAGTCTGGGAGACCCCTATAAATTAATGGCCTCTAGGACATCTATGCTCTCTGCACACCTAGAAAATAATTTATGGGAAGGTGTCATTTCAAAGTGAAAGATCCTCATTGTACTGAGACCAGAAGTAATTTTTCCATACTGCCATGACGGTACCTTCTTGGATCACGAGGGACAAGGAAACGTCCCCCCTCTCCACCAACATGGAGGAGGAACTGAGGATGGAAGCGTAATGTCCACTCAAGAATGAGGACGGAGGTGGTCCTTTCCCGCTCCCTACTTCTCATGTAGTTCTCTGAGTTCCTGGGGCTTGCAACCTGTTGCCCACCTGTTTGTAAGCCTCGCATGGGAAGCATTCTAATGAACCACTTCTTATCCGTCACGTTGCCTCTTGCTGAGTTCTTTCTGTGCTGAGACATAAAGGACTAGAGCTTCTTGCAGCCCTCTGACATGCCACCGAGTGGTTTCAGATAGCAGGTAGCAATGATAGTTTTAATCTAAGTGGCAAACAGCCATTTTTAAAAAATTTTTTATTTTGTATTGGGTTCAGCTGATTAAAAATTGTGATAGTTTCAGGTGAACCGCAAAGGGATCCAGCCATCTATATGTATATGTATCCATTCTCCCCCTAACTTCCCTCCCATCCAGGCTGCCACGTAATATTGAGCAGAGTTCCATGTACTCTACAGCGGTCCTCGCTGATTATCCATTTTACATATAGCAGTGTGTACAGGCAACCATAAGTTCATTCTCTAAGTAAGTGAGTCTCTGTGTTGTATGTCCATCTGTATCATTTCTTTTTAGATGCCACATGTAAGGGATGTCATACGATACTTCTCCTTCTGTCCGACTGACTTCCCTTAGTGTGACAGTCTCTAGGGCCACCCATGTTGCTGCGGATTCACAGCCATTTTTAATATACTTAAGTGGAGCTCTCATACCACTTCATTTGCTAATTTGTGTTTGAACAATTTCCCTGTGCCTGACATTCTCAAATCTGGTGAGGTGGCACTGTAAGTCAGTCTGTTACCAATAAGAGTTAAAGTATAGATGAATGTGAATCTTGTGAATGATTTACTCAGACAGTAAATTAGAAGTCTTTAAAAAAAAATACTACTTTCATTTGCATTCCTTAGGTGGGAGAGAGGGGGCAGAATTCTCATGGGGAATTGTTTCTATTTCAGGATGGTGACTGGTGCTTCTCCGCTGTCCTAGGCTGAGGATGAGTGGTTCTGTCTCCACTGCTTTCCGCAGAGAACCTCCGGCAAACGGCAGGCAGACCCCTGCCCCCTGTAAGGGGTAAAGGCGGAGGACAGGGAAGGGAGGGGCAGTCAGTGCTGGCTTTGTGGGAAGGTGGGGGTGTTCCTGGTGAGAAGCTCTTTGCTTCTCCTCTCAAATGGGATGCTCCCAGGGAGGAAGGAGGCACCTCAAGAGAGCAGCCTGGAGAGACTGGAGGGGTTCTGCAAAAGGGGGGCGGTGGGATATTTCCCTGGTGGGATATCCATTTAGGCAGCAGACCTACGGATCCGGCTTTGCTGTGGGCCGAGCTCAGGGGAGATGGGCTCAGACGGGGAGCAGTGTGGCACTGCAGCCTGTGGGTGATAGGACTGTGAGCTTCCCATAAATGTGAATCTTGTGAATGATTTACTCAGACAGTAAATTAGAAGTCTTTAAAAAAAATACTACTTTCATTTGCATTCCTTAGGTGGGAGAGAGGGGGCAGAATTCTCATGGGGAATTGTTTCTATTTCAGGATGGTGACTGGTGCTTCTCCGCTGTCCCAGGCTGAGGATGAGTGGTTCTGTCTCCACTGCTTTCCACAGAGAACCTCCGACAAACGGCAGGCAGACCCCTGCCCCCTGTAAGGGGTAAAGGCGGAGGACAGGGAAGGGAGGGACAGTCAGTGCTGGCTTTGTGGGAAGGCGAGGGTGTTCCTAGTGAGAAGCTCTTTGCTTCTTCTCTCAAATGGGATGCTCCCAGGGAGGAAGGAGGCATCTCAAGAGAGCAGCCTGGAGAGACTGGAGGGGTTCTGCAAAAGGGGGACGGGCATTTCTTTCCCTGGTGGGACATCCATTTAGGCAGCAGACCTACGGATCCGGCTCTGCTGTGGGCCGAGCTCAGGGGAGATGGTGGGACTCAGACGGGGAGCAGTGTGGCACTGCAGCCTGTGGGTGATAGGACTGTGAGCTTCCCATGGGACACGGGGGCATTTCAGAAGGTGGATGGGCTTGAGCAGTCTTACAGGTATCGCAGGGGCTCCAGCAAATAGAGAAAACAACATTTTTCACGTTAATATCCCTACGGGACAAAGAATCATCAGCATCTCCTGGGTAACCCAGCTTCTCCTGTGAATACCCTTGGGGGGTGTGCCATGAAGTTAAATGCCCCCAACAGGATGGACGGTAAGGTTTAGAAGAGAGTGGGGTGGGGCCAAGGGGGAGTGGCTGACAACTCTTGGCCTAAAGAGATGAAGATATGAAGGAGGAAATTTAGGGATACCGGAGATGGGAGGACCTGGAGTGGCTGCTTTTCTTGCCTCTGTGATACTGGCATCCCTCACTGCTTACAGTCCCTCACCCCCTAATCTTGGGTCTCTACCCTCAAGGAACTTTGCCCTTGGACAGTATTTGTGTGTTCAGGTTCAGCAGCAGGAATATAGTATACGGCTACAATAAATGTATGTTGAGGGGCCTTCCTGGTGCTGCAGTGGTTGAGACTGCGAACTCCCAATGCAGGGGGCCCAGGTTCCATCCCTGCTCAGGGAACTAGACCAAGTGTGCTGCCTCAAAGATCGAAGATCTCGCATGCTACAACTAAAAGACCTGGGGCAGCCAAAGAAATAAAAAAAAGTTGTTCAGTGGCTACGCCATGTCTGGCTCTTTGTGACCCTGTGAACTGCAATACTCCAGGCTTCCCTGTCCTTCACTGTCTCCGAGAGTTTGCTCAGACTCATGTCCATTGAGTTGATGATGCCATCCAGCCATCTCATCCTCTGTCACCCCCTTCTCCTCTTGCCCTCTATCTGTCCCAGCATCAAATGTACATTGAATGAATTTATCCTGTAGAACTGAGAATAGCTAGTATACTTCTTTAACATTTCTACTGTTCTGTTATTGATAAATGAGGGGAAATAAGAACCTTAAAAATTGGTACCGGTACTCACCAATGATATAAACCAGGTAACTTTGAAGTACTATTCATCAGTGATTCCTGCCCGTTACTCATGCTCTTACGGATTCAAGAGAGTAACCTGGGTATTTTGGGTGCAGGAACTTCTTACTGAAACTATTTTGCTCATAAAGCTAAGGGGAAAATGCTCATGTGATTTTTAGATATTTCTCTAAAGTCAGATTAGACACCCTAATCCAGACATGAGTCTTTTTCTCTAGGAGAGTATTTAGAACCATCTTAGTGGTAGCTGATATTAACAAGCCATTAGCTTTTCTTTATAAAAGTTTAAGCAGTTGTCATTAGATACCTGTGGGGCCAAAGCAGGAAGTTAAATAAAGGTTCTCCAAGCTTTTCCTATGGATGGGAACCGAGTTATTCAGTATTG